AGAGAGAGAGAGAGAGAGAGAGAGAGAGAGAGAGAGAGAGAGAGAGAGAGAGAGAGAGAGAGAGAGAGGGTGGAGACCGGTTCAATAGATGCACAAATACACAAAGGATGCAATACAAAACGGGGGATACCTACACACACACACACACACACACACACGCACACACAAAACATTATAATTCATGTCATGCCTTTTCTTTGAATTGTCTTCTCGGCTTCCATCTCTCACAAGCAGAGTGTTCACAGAAGTAAACATAGAGGGAGAGTCTCGCAAAAGCAGAGGGCGAAAACCCCTCCACTCATAATTGAACGATGACAAAAGCCAACAAACATCCCGGAGTGCCTGGACTACTGTAAAACGTCATCTACCCAAAAGAAGGGCAGACCTGTCACAGGCCTCAAGCAAAGTTGGGGATGAGATCCTCCCCTATCTCGTGCGGAAAGCAGGTTTCTTCCCAAATCTCTCTCTCTCTCTCTCTCTCTCTCTCTCTCTCTCTCTCTCTCTCTCTCTCTCTCTCTCTCTCTCTCTCTCGTTATCGGTAAACCTTATCCAGCTGTGATTCTCCAAAGATGTTCCTCTTCCATAGGAGAGCGAGCCGATGATTGCCTCCAGATCGTGTACCTGAGCACATGTCGACTACAAAACTGCCTCCTGCACAGTCGGAGGATTATGTACGATCTGCGCAATTCGATAAAAAATCAAGATCCACTGCACTATTATGCAAAGGACATATACCGGGACTGCTGTGAACGTCTAAGGGTTCAATCAAGCAACAACTTTTCTGAATGTTCCTAACGGAATCTAACGGAATCCACCCTCATTTACTTCCACAGTTGCTAACGAAACATTCACTCCCAAGTCTTTGTTGTTATACCGTGAGAGAGAAAGAGAGAGAGAGACGGCGAGGGGGAGACATGTGTGTGTGTCTCAGAGAGAGAGAGAGAGAGAGAGAGAGAGAGAGAGATCGGATGGATCTGACGGACAAAAATGCAGCGAAGTACTGAACTTCCTCCGAACGTGTCTCAAACACACAGAGCGAAAGAGAATGGGAGAGAGAGAGAGAGAGAGAGAGAGAGAGAGAGAGAGAGAGAGAGAGAGAGAGAGAGAGAGAGAGAGAGAGAGAGAGAGAGAGAGAG